TTTTTTTTTTTTTTGCTAGAGCCCCTGAAATTATTCTTGGATTGCCATTTTGTGAAGCTATTGATATGTGGTCCTTGGGCTGCGTGATAGCTGAGCTGTTCCTGGGATGGCCTCTTTATCCTGGTGCTTCGGAATACGATCAGGTAAGAGTGTGTATTACATTTTTTAACGAATAGAATTTTCTCTCCCTGCTTCTTAGTCTGAAGTTATGTTTGCAATTCTTCAATGAAAAGGGAATTTTATTTTATGTTATGTTAGACTGGTACTTTCCCAGATCTGTAATGATTTATTAGATATTCACTTTGGTTAACAAAGGCATCTTGTGAAATAAGACATGAAAGCAAAGTAAGGATGAGGAATTGAGATTTTAAGAATGAATTTTGGCTCATTCACACCTGCTATTTCCTCTCATACATGACACACACTGAAATGCGTGCTCTCGGCAGGCTGAAACACTTTGGGCCCCAGAGGCTGGGAAGTAGAGGGGGGTCTCTGTAAGAGTGGCTTTAGGAGGGCAATCAGAGGTCTTGAAAAGTGTTGCAATAAATGACCTGTCTCAAACAGACAAGCTTTAGACGATATCCTACATTTCCTAAAGAGCTGGTGCTGAGAGCAACAGTTTTGCCATGGAAATAAATTGCAAATTCTAATTTTTTGTTCTTTAAAAAAAGTGGTCTAACCATTTATGCTTTAATCTCCTTAAGGGCATTGACTGTTTCATTCCATCAGTGTATCATCAGCTGCTACATGTGTCTTAAACATAGTAGGTACACAAGGTGTAGAAAAGGGAGGTTGTTTTTGTTTTAGTTTTCTATTTTTTTTTTTGAGAAATAAATGGTTATCTGGAATTGAAAGGCAGAAAGAGCAAAACAGTCCTTTTCCTATTCAGCCTAGAATTTTGACTCCTTGATATACTGAGTATATGTAACATTTACCAACTTCTAAAAATTTGACTCTTTGGACATGCCTTTGAGTGAAACATAACAAATGAGCTACCCATGTCATAAATAACCCGTTATATTGTGCTTTGGAATTTTTTTTTATCTTCTACCTTGAGACGAGCAAGTCAGCGTCCTTATTTTTTTTAATTAATTTAAATTCTTTACGGTTAAGAGCAGCTTCCTTATTTTACAACAACAAAGAAGTATTTGGGAGATTAAATGATACAAAACCATAGCTGGTTTAACTAAGCTTTTGATTCTCCTTTTTGGGTTTTAGACCTTTTTGAGACTCTGTTGAAGCTATGGATCTTCTCAGAAACGTGTGCTCACCATGTCGTGTGGACAGATTTAGGGGACTCATGGACCTCTGCTTCAGAAACCTTGCTCTGAGCAATTACAGCCGCCAAAGTGCCATTCCTAGCCCAACTGTTTACTGGCATCCCCTCAGCCTTAGTAAACAGATTGCCATTGTGAAATTTCCTAGGAAGTGGAACCAAATACAATTAAATTTAGAAGCTAAGGTACAGCTGGGGCTTTCCTTGAAAAAAAAAAAATGATCTGGTAGTTTGGAGAATTTTTGTTGGGTGCATAAATGTGAAACTGTGGGTGGAAGGAGGAAAGCCGCAGTTGGTTGAACCAAGCTGAATCAGTAGGATGCTGCTGTTACAGAGCAGGAAAGGGGGGTGGGGGT